GTCTGCTTCTCCCTCTGACCCTCCCCCTTCTCATGCTTTCTCTCTCTCACTCCTTCTCAGATAAATAAATAAAATCTTTAAAAAAAAAAAAAAGACATTAGATCAGAGGTTCTTAATTCTGGCTGCACATTAGAATACTCTGGGGAATTTCTAAAAAAAATAACCCTGAACTTATCACAAACCACAAGTAAATTAGACTCTCTTCAGTTAGAGCCCAGAAGGGATTTTTTTTTTTTTTTTTTTTTTAAACCCTTTGGTGATTCCAGTATTCAGCCATGGTGGAGCACTAAGGTGCATCTGTAGAGATGTGTGTGGACTACATGGGAGCCCTTCTCATTATCACTATACAGACTCAGTGTTCACTTGTGGTAGGCACTTAGCAGGTGCATGTAGATTGAGTGAAATCTGGAAAGAGTTTTGAAATCTGGAAAGTTAAGATGGTGTCCATCGGAAAGTTCAAGTACTATACAAATGTACTGTGTAAACATGATATCATTAGTCACAAGTAGAAGACACTTCAAATAAAAAATTGTGCCTTAATTGTGTTAGTTGGGCAAGTCAGAATTCTCTGCCAATCATTTGATTATGCCACTGTTTATAATATATATTTAATTATGACATCATGAACACCTTCCAAAATCCAGAGTGTTCTACAGATGGAGAAAAGCCATTGATACAGTGCAGTGTGACAATGTAATTGCTATGTTTCCTTCCCTTCCATCATGTCCTTTCCCTTCCCTCTTATCTCTTCTTCCCCCTACTCAGCAGAGAAATTGGAGAGATACTAACAGAGTGGAAAGTGTTACTTTAGAGATAAAAAAAATGAGTCAGTGTGTTTTTGCCTCTCTGTCTGTCCCTCTCTTTCTCTCCAATCAATATAATTATGAAATAAAAAAGAGTTGATTATAGATTTTGGCCCTCTGATTCTCAACAAAAAAATCAGAGGTTTAATATCCCATTTAATTTGTTTCAATTCTGCCTCTTTCCAAAAGGTATTGGGCTGCACTGAACATAATAACATTGTAGAAAGACAATAACATATAAAAAGAAAAGTTAAGATCTTGGAAAAGAGGATGTAGCAATATGATAACCATAGGAACTTAGCAGAATTTTGTGAATGAGTAAGAAATTTACCGTGGGCTTCCCAAAAGTTAGGGCAAGAAACAGTTGACATAGTTGTACTTAGCAGAAAGGAGGAAGTGTATGGTGATTACTCAGGGATGACGAGAACCTTCTGCCACGAGACATTAGAGGGGACGTTATGTGTTATGGTTGCAGCACCCTTGACTACAGCTTCACAACAAATACCAAAGTAGTTTCTTTTTTTTTTTTTTTTCCCCAAAGTAGTTTCAATATCACTATTCCTGTAGCCGGAGACCTAACGTGAAAACCAGACTTGGTGAGGTTGATCTAAGATGTGTTGAATTTGAGCTTTATAACATGTGCATTTTTTCTTTTGTTTTTATCACCCCCCACTTCCTTATTTTTTTTAGAGCTTTCTTAGAGTCATAGTTTAGATGAATGAGTTCTCTTTTTAACCTACAACATTTTGCATCCCCCCAGTTAGCTGTTTACTAATAGACAAGTTTAGAACTTATTTTTAGTTGCTTGGCATCTTTCGAAGGCCTGAGATCTGCCCTGTCTTGTTTGGCTTTAGTTTCCCCTAAAATGACACTGGTGGCGGAGGCTGACAAACAGTGTAGTTCCACTGGAAGGAGATAAGACCAGGGCTCATGTGCATTGATGTTCTTGACTGTTAGCAAGAAACACTTTGCTCCAATGACGATGCAGCTGCAAAAGTAATGATGGAATTTGGTGCTACTTAGAATATTAGGGTGTCACGTATGGTTATGGATAGAAAAGCCAGGGCTACTCTTCTTCTTCCAATGAAATAAGCCAGCTGAGTCCTACCTTCCAAAAAAAAGTTCTGAATTCCACATTGGGCAAGTCTTGTAGCTTAGAGTCCTCTGCTGGTGTTGTCTGGTTCTTAGAAGGAATTAAACGGTGAGGTGAATCTGAACTGAATGGAGAAGGCAGTTTTTATCATGCAAAATCTGTTTGTGTAAACTTGAATTTCAGTTGTCTTTTTCTCATTTCCCTTTTGGCAGCGAACATTAATGCTTGAGGACACGCTGCCACTCATTTCTCGGAAGCACCAAATATTTGGTTTTTGTCTGCATTCAAACAGAATCAGTTTCAAGTTGTGTCTGTAGATACTAAACATAAATATTTAGATAAAACAAGCTTATAAAGAAGGTAATTTGCTCCATCATCTGTGAAATTATGAATCTTTTTCCTATGGTAAATTGAAAAATTTATTGAACCCTTACTTTGTAAAAGGCATTATAATAAGTAATAAGTGCAGAGTAGGAGGATACATTATAAATGGTAGACCTGGTGATAGTCCACTGTGGACTTCCAGTCTAGTTGAGAAGTGAAAACATTAAGTTAGATTAAATTAAGTTAAATTAAATTAATTACATTATTTTAAAGTAGAAAGTTTTTGAGAGACAAAATTACTCATTATAGTAGAAGTTGATTGTGGATATATTTGGGGTACCTTAGAAAAAAGAGTGTAATGAAGTTAAAGATAGGTTCACAATAGGCTGATTTTAAACCAAGTATTAAAAGAGGCAGTGTGGATTGGTAGAGATGACTGAATCAGGAAGGAGGAAGATAAGGATCATACTTTGAAACATATTTTTGGGAAACTCCTTAAGATGGAAAACTTGTCTGATAATAATTTTCATTACAATATCAGCATATAATCAGTAAGTTACTTTTAAAACATGAATGTAGTTCTGGTGAGTGACTCATTTATTTCAAATATTTGAAATACAACATTGCAGTATGATAAAATTTTTTTTTACTATTTTTGACATATGTTTTAATAATGTATGATATATATTATATGTATACAATTTTATTTTAGTAGTGTATGATATGTATATATATATCCTTTTACATATGATTCTAGTAAGTTCCTTGATATTCAGATAATATACTTTTTTTAATTGTATTTTTTTATTATGTTATGTTAATCACCATACATTACATCAGTTTTTGATGTAGTGTTTCATGATTCATTGTTTGCGTATAACACCCAGTGCTCCAGGCAGAACGTGCTCTCTTTAATACCCATCACCAGGCTAACCCATCCTCCCACCCCCCTCCCCTCTAGAACCCTCAGTTTGTTTCTCAGAGTCCATAGTTTGTCATGGTTCATCTCCCCCTCCGATTTCCCCCCCTTCATTCTTCCCCTCCTACTGTCTTCTCCTTCTTCTTTTTTTTTTTAACATATAATGTATTATTTGCTTCGGAGGTACAGATCTGTGATTCAACAGTCTTGTACACTTCACAGCACTCACCATAGCACATACCCTCCACAATGTCTATCACCCAGCCACCCCATCCCTCCCACCGCCCTCCACTCCAGCAACCCTCAGCTTGTTTCCTGAGATTAAGAATTCCTCATATCAGTGAGGTCATATGATACATGTCTTTCTCTGATTGACTTATTTCGCTCAGCATAATACCCTCCAGTTCCATTCATGTCGTTGCAAATGGCAAGATTTCATTCTTTTTGATGGCTGCATAATATTCCATTGCATATACACACACACACACACACACACCACATCTTTATCCATTCATCTGTCTTTTTATAATTAATCTTTCATCTATCATTCTTAATAGTGTGGGTGCTCTTTATGTTTTATTTAAAGCATTATACTTCAGTTTACCATTGCAAGACTTTTTTATGTAGAAAGGTCTTTTTTCTTGGGGCACCTGGGTGGCTCAGTCGGTCAAGTGTCTGACTCTTGATTTTGGCTGGGGTCATGATCACAGGGTCGTTGGATCGAGCCCCATGTCGGGCTCCTTATGCACTGAGCATGGAGCCTGCTTGAAATCCTCTCTCTCTCTCTCTCTCACTCACTCTCTTTGCCTCTCCCCTTGCTGGCATGTGCTCTCTCTCTCACAAAAAAAAAAAAAAAAGGTATTTTTCTTGCTTTTTAAAAACTAAAATTCTGAAAGCAATATATTAAGATCTCTCTTCTGATCCTTTAAATTTAAAAATTTAAAATGAAATTTTGAGTTTATTTTGGATTGTTTTTGCTACATTGTTGTATTGATCTCTTATGATTCTTATGGTTTCTTTATTTTTCAAGGGGTCTTTGGAACCTATATTAAAAAACTCTGAAAAATGAGTCTTCTCTTACTTAATACACACAAAATAGCTTTTAACAAGGTATTCATACTTCATTTAGACATACTGCATTGGGACTCTAATTAGTCAGGATGAAAAAAGATTATTCTAGTTTTTCATCTTTTTCATTCCTGTTGCATCTTTCAAGAACCCATTGCCATCCACCCATCCACCCATCCAACCATTTATTCTTTCATTTGATCATCAAATATGTACTAAGTACCTACAGTATTCAAGAGAATGAGCTGGTGTCTGGATGGGTGATAAGATGCTACAAGAGTGACTAGATTCTGAGACATAGGACTCTGGGAAACAAAAGTAGAAACTGTGAATTTCTGTAAGTAAGGGTTAAGTAATGTGCCTCAGAAACCTGCAGATAACAAAAGAAATTTCCAACTTGCAGGGAAGTGGGTAAGTGCTTCAGAAATGCTTTTTCACTTAAGCTGACCTACACAATCCTTGTTTGTTTTGGATGAAGGAAAATGTTTTACTCCTCAGCATTTAGTCAAATATGATAGAAGTTATCTGTTCTCAGCTCAAAAAGGCCTAGAATATACCTAGATTTCTCAAGTTATTTCATATTGTCAGTACTTTTATTTTTTGTAGTTAAAATACGAATGCTATTAAATAGTTATTAAAATAGCAAAAAGTATGAGAAGTTATCTGTCCTCAAAGATGCCCATGTTCTTTCCTCTTACTGAAGAAACCTTAATTGTAATACTGCCATGTTTTTTGATAAGTGCTTATTTTGATCTTTGCTCATTTTTCTTTTGTTTAATTTTATAATTTTCAGAAGCAAAATCAGTAAAGGCTTGGAGGATTTAAAAGGTGTTAGTCCAGTAGGAGAGACATACATCCATGAAGGACTAAAGCTAGTAAGTTCTTTCACATTTATAAGTATGGGAGAGAATGTTTTCTTATTCTGTAATGCAATAAACTATAACTTTCTAGTAAAACTCAAAGACCCCATTACATGTTTATCTTTAAAAAAAATTTTTTTTAATGCTTTTAGTTGTTCTAAGGATGAGACTGATTTACCGTGGTGATAAGAAAAATTTGGATGGCATTTTGCTTTTTAAGGAATTTTTGTGGTGTGTGGTTATTTTCAGACTAGTCAATCAAAGCTTAAAATTTGTATCCTTTAACCCAATAGTAACTACTCTATAATGTGAATCTATACATATTTCAAATAAAATAGTTAACACAAAATACCCTGTTTTAAAAGCCAGTCTATAATAATTTGGTTTTGTCAGACTCATAAATTCAGCCTGATGGAACATGCTGGTTAAAAGTTAAGATTAAATTGTTAGTTGGATAATTATTCTATATTTTCAGGCAAATGAACAAATTCAGAAAGCAGGAGGCTTAAAAACCTCCAGTATCGTAATTGCTCTGACAGATGGTAAGTTGGACGGTCTGGTACCATCATATGCAGAGAAAGAGGTTAGTATTGAGCTGAAACTGTTCCTTATACCCCAGTGTACTTTGCTGTGTGTCTCTGTATGTATAGCCTGATATTTGAATAATGCAACCCCCCATCTCTCTCTCTCTCTCTCTCCATAGGCAAAGATATCGAGGTCATTTGGGGCTAGAGTTTATTGTGTTGGTGTCCTTGACTTTGAACAAGCTCAAGTGAGTGCAGCAGATCTGCAAACCTTAATCTAAATTACATAATTGTTTTAAGAGTAGTTCATCAAATTCTTTTCACTGGTGATTTACTGTGACACTAATTGGTTGCTAAAGATTTTCTATAAAATGATTTTGAACTCTGCATCAATAATGTCTGATTTTGATAGGTTTCATTACTGAAAATGAAACTCTAGAATTTCTTGAATATTCATTTGGTTTGGAGGAACTGATATTATAGAACACACATTTGGATTAAAATATTATGAATACTCCTCCTTGAACTCAACTGACAAGATTATTACGACGGTCTTATTTAGGTGTTTTAGTTTGATTGAAAACTTGATTCCTAGGAGTGCAAGGATTTGGGAAATCTGTTTAGAGGAAATCTTTAATAATTTTCATTCCCAAACCCCAATTTTTTCGTTAAGTTTTGAAGGTTTATATATTAATTTTTTTTTTCTTGGCTCACCAGATGATTTTACATTTAGATTTCTGGTTGAACATGACTAAGATTCCTGTGTCTCTTGACATTTACAGCTAGTAGAACTCTGCACTGTTTTGAGATTCAAACTTGAGGCCGATGTAAAGGGCCTGTGGCTAATTCATTTCATTGCACTATGTTTCGAGTAACACTAGTGCCATCTCCTTCAGTTCCTGACAGGCTACACTGGTGAATTGATCCTCTGGTGTAATTTTCAGATGAACATAACTGAAACATAATGAAGTGTATAAAATGTATGTCTCGACTACCCATTAATTAAATGTTCCTCATTTTTCTAAAGCTGGAAAGAATTGCTGATTCCAAGGATCAAGTTTTCCCTGTCAAAGGTGGATTTCAAGCTCTTAAAGGAATAATTAATTCTGTGAGTATTTTTCTGGGAGTAAGAAAGGCATATGGTTTTAGGTACATTTTACAACATAAGATGTAATCTTGATATCCATTCAGGTGGTCGTTATCTTGAAGAAAGAGATTAAGAAGGAAGTTTGTTCGGTATTGAGAACAAGGCATTAATTCTAAAGATCTGGATTTTGTTGGTGTTAATTGTTGGTATTAATGCTTATAAATTGAACTCTGTGAGCTTGGGTTTGAGATTCCAAGTTCAAGATCTTCATGAACAGTCTTAGACACTTCCACCCTGTGAGCATGGAGTTCCTCATTCTCTTGATATCTTGGAAGTTTTATAGGCTTTCCAGAAGATAAAGTAAACATTTGGATTGGAATGTGTGATGTCTCCCTCCTCCAAACATGGTGTTTCTTAGCTATCAGGCAGGCACCGTGCACCAGCGGCTGAGTATTTGCCGTTGTTGTTCTTTCCCTTTTAATGATTAGTCGTTTCACTGGAGCTCATAATATTTCTGTTTGGAATTCAGTTGCACTGTCTCTGGTGATTGTTAGAATCGGGGCTCCCCTAAAGAGGGTAAGGGGAAGTGGGATGAGGAAATGCAAAGCAAAACTCCTACGTTTCACAGCTGAGGTTTATGTTTCATTTTACTGCCTTTTGCTAGAAGCACCTGGAACAGTTGCTATTAAGTATTTATGATATTTTGGTAAACACCATCCTAAAATGGGAGTGAATAATGTATATTCTCTAAGTCAAAGCATTTCCTTTCATCTTTAGGTATTTACTGAAGGGAAAAAAAGATAAGTCTCAGGGTCTTCGGACATTTGGTTCTGGCATTTAAAATTTCTCTTTAAAGATCATGTTTTTCAGAAACCGAGTGAGATCGATTGATTTTGTTTTTAAGTAGCCTGTAGGTTTTTTTTCCCCTCATTGATGGAACTTTTCAAAGAAAAAAAATATGACGTGGTTCTATTACGTATCAGTACATCTAGTGGACAGGCCGGATGTAAATACAGGAACAGTGTTTTATTATTTTAAGAGTTTAATTATGTTTAGTATTTAGAAAAAATTGCAAGATAAAAAATAGGAAATATTTGGATTCATATTTATATGAATATTTATGTGGATTTATATTTGGATTCAAGGTACTCTGTAACTGTGATTTGTTTTAAGATACAGGAAAATGGATGGACAATGCAAAAGAGCGGATAATTTGATCCTGTAAATAAACAAAACAGTGGAATGTATTTTAAATTTATGCTGGGGAATTTGCAGTTATTTTTACAATTATAGAGGGAAGGAGAGAAGGCGTCTCTGGGTTACTCCCTTTGGAATTTTTTTTTCCCCTCTGTATAAAAGGTTCGATTCAAAATCCTCGGTGACTAATTGGTTTTTAAAACTCTCTATAGGCTGTGACTGCGTATTTCTCCTTCAAAGAACTGGTACTTGACTACCAGAGGAGATAAAGTTGTTTTGTTATATTTATTTGTTAAGTTTCATCTATTTTATTTGTATTAGGGAAACTTTAGAGTGGAATTTCTAACTACAGTCTTTCTGGCCTGAAGTTCTTCATGGACTTTAGCTTGAGTAAGTTATGTTGAAAGATTTGGCAAGCAGTTAGAAAGATTTGTGTTATTTTAGCCACAAATTGCAAGCAAAGCGTCTTGAGTTTCATCTGGTGGGGGCCGATGGGTGTAGTGTTCATTCTAATATAGTTAAACTTCAGCTATTTTGTGAAAAAAAGGAGTAAATTATCCTTAGGGAAGCCAGCCTCTGGGGAAACTGGAGCGGTAGTCACATGTCAAAGTTGACAGACAAATAGAATCATTACAACCAAAGTTGATCTAACTAATGGTTGAGATTTTTATCAACATGTTGATAGCTTGGGATTTTGCTCACTTTGTAGAAATTTAAGGCAATTCAAGCACTTTATGTCTCTTCAAGGCAGAGATTGCTCCATCTCTGGTAATATACAAAAGCTATAATTCTGCCTTAAATTTGAATTGCACTTTATACTTACAAAGTACCATCTTATCTTCAAAAAATTATATTTGGTATTTAAAACAAGTGTACTGTATCTATATCAGGGTAAGGGCAGAGAGAAGAGACTATCCCTTTATTCTTTATGATTTACCAAACTAGTGGATGAAAAAAATTATACTATGGAATGGATTTATGCAAAGCTAAGCAAATGTAAATAATCAGAAAATGTAAGTCTTTCAGATGTCTGGTACTTTGAAGGCAAGATATTTGCTAAATTGAGAGATAATTTTTTTTTTTTTTTTTGCTGGAAGTTATTTATATGCCTGGCCTTATCGTCAATGAATTAATTTCTTTGAAGTTAATCTTTAATTGAGAAAAAAATGTAAGCCGATTTTCTTGGGTTTTTTTGTCCTCCCTCCCTTGCCCACCCAAATCCAGTGACCTAGATGGTCTGGTCCCCTTGCTGTAAATCACATTTTGTTGAAGCATAGTTTGTTCAGAATCAACTTTGTAATCAGCAAGGACAGGAGTTTCATTTTGGAGCCTTCCTTCACTGTAGTTAAAAAAAAAAAGAGAGAGAAAAGGGACACTGTAGTGGTTCTTTCTCTTATAACTTCAAAAATGAGTGACTGGAGAAGGCCTTTGTTATGAACATTTTGCATGTTAACAATTTAATACCTTCTCTAAAATTTATTTGATTCAGAAAATCTTTTTCACGTTTTATTTTCATTTGGAATGAAATAAATCATTTTAAAATTTTTAGATTTCTATCCAGGCAAACATGATATCTAACAGTTATCAGAATATTGGTTTAATCTCCAACCTTAATTAGGAATATAAAAGTTTAAAATTCATTATTAGCTCAAGTAGATGCTGGTGAAAACTTTTCCTCTTTTTCACCTCCCTTCCCCCCATTATCTGATTTATTCTTTCATCCACTTATTTATTGAGTTCTAACCATGCTTAGGGCACTGTGTTAAGCTTGGAAGAGGGGACACAAAAAAGACAAATTCTCTGTTCTAAAGGAGCTTGAAAATAATGATGACTTGAGTTTGGAATATGGTGGTTTCTGTAAGAATTACAGAATGTGGTGATAAGGAGGAGGCTGGAAAGTTTGGTGAGTCACTCTGGCTGATAGAGAGGAACCCTATCTTGCAGTTTGCGTTAAGATGCCAATATGGCCAGAATAAAGTTAACAGAAGGATGGGATAAGTTTCGATATATGAAGTCCTGGGAGACTTTTGGTGGTGGAATCTGAACTGTGCTCTGACAGTTGGAGTAAATTAGAAACAAGGAATGTAGAACTTCAGAAAGAGCCTGGGCTGAGTGGCTGAGGCACAGGAGGGAATGTGGCCTGGCTTGGATAATGGAGGAATAATGAGGGATAAACGTTGACGGGCAGGCTGGATCCAGATTATGGAAACTCTCAAATGTTTGGGGAAGTGGCACTAATTTCATAAGCAATTGGAGAATGATGGAAGAGCAACTTAAGGATGAGATTTATATGCTGGCTGAGAACGTTTAGGAAGAATATCCTTACGGTAATGTATAGGATAATTTGGAAGACAGAAAGTTGTTTTATAAGTCTCTTGGAAGAGTCCTTGTGAGAGACCTGGCAAAAGGAAACCTAATATAGTGAAGACAGTATGAAATTGGGAATAGGAAGACCTGAGTGTGAGTTCCAACTCCGCCACTGCCTAGCTATGTGACGCTGTGTACTTTCTGTCATGTAATCTCTCTGATTTTAAAATTCTCGTCAAGTCAAATGGGGAAAATTCTATTTCTTTGAGTTGTTTTGTGAATTAAATGAGATAATGATTAAGAATGGTCTAACTCAGAAGGACGGGGCTTTCGAACATTTGGTAGGAAGCTAGGAATGTCAGAAGTTGGGACCATGTAGGATGGGGTTATTGATCTTTCTGCAGGGCAGTCCACTGAGAGTGATGGCTGGAATTCTAAATAATGACTTAGGTCTAAAAGGGTATGGCCTTGATATGTGAGAGGATCAAATCTCCAGGGACTTCTAGATGGTGTAGCTAAGCAAAATCAAATAGTTCCAAATCCTTAGGCCTTGGGACTCGGGCCCAACCAGCAACTGGGAAAGGAGACTCCCATGACAAAAACTATGTGGAATTTTGGGACTCTGCATTTAGAAAAGAGCTACAGTTCTTGTTGGGGAACTTGTAGAGCTGTTTAGTGATTCAGAGTAGAAACCTAGTTGTCGAAGGGGAAACAACATCTTCAATGGACCATAGTTACTTAGGGTGTATCTTAGGTACTGAGATTCTAGGTCTGTCCCAGTAAAAGTAGGTCAAGGACCATAAGGAAAACATGCCCTGGTCAGAATCATGTCAGGAATAGGGTGGGGCAGAACCTCCAGGGAACAGTTTTTCTCTTGCTGAGCCAGGCTCTGATGGCTCTGGAAAATATGAGTTGCTGTTGTTGTTATTGTGATGGCAGTGAAACTGGAAATAAGAAGGTGAATTCGAGAGACCTTAAAAAGTTGATAGAACCTGAGAGATCACTGGATATTGGTTGAAAAGGACGGAGAGGGGAGTCAGCTGTAACTTGGGCATTTTGCTCCCGACTACTCTGAATAACGGGAAGCAGGGAGGGTGAAGACTGTTTTTACAGAGGGGCCTGGAGTACTAAAGGACATGGTGGAATCAGGCAGAAGGGCAGAGGGAGAAGTTGAATTGGACCTGGGGAGTCCCCATGGGGCATGTCCCTTAGGGATGTGGAGGTCCAGGGAAATGTGCAAGTCAGAGAACTTCAGAGTTGACTCATTGTTCCTCCTTTTGTGTTTTCTCCCCTCCGGTTGCCCACAAAAACCAGGGATATAATTCTTCTGTTTTCCACTTTAGATTATTTTTAATATCTTAGAATGTTAAACCATTATTTTTGGTTTCTTGGAAAGGTGGTTGCAAGGCTTTTCTTTGAAAATGAAATTTTATTTGAACTAGTCAGACTGACATGTGAGCACCATGTGGTTCAGCGTTTCATTAGGTAGTGCTGTGGATGGTAGCATTCAGAATAAA